TCAGTAGCTTGTTGCTGGCTATTCCTAATGCAAAGACTAGGAATCAACATCAGACATATGAGCGTTTTCACACTGGTCAGAATCTGCGTCCTTACTCGCGTCCTTCACTAGATGGCAGAGTCTACACACCACAGCCCACGGTCAATAAACCCGTTTGTGATTTTCCCAGTAGCCCCTCACTGCAGAACACAAGATCCAGGGGGCGTGGTTGGATCCACATCTAGGGGCTGGAGATTGGTAGGTTTAGGGGTGGAGCTCTGGGAGATGGGTGGGTTTAGGAATCAGGGTAGAGACAGGTAGGTTTAGGTATATGTAAGGTGGGAGGAGTTGGATCTGGATCTTGTGTTCTGCAGTGAGGACCATCTCGGTTTGAGGCTGTTAAAGATAAATAGTAATTTGATTAAACGGCTCCCTTAAAATAAAATCTGTTCAAAGCTCCATCATGGAGTTTTTCTGTTACCTTATACTATCTCAGCTTGATGTGCAGAGTCAACGGTACGCAAGTTGATCCTCACAAAGTGTAAAACGTGGTTTTGTGTCTGATTGCTTTGTTTGTTTGTTTGTTTGTTCATCCCTACCAGCTCGACACAGCAACAGAGGCTCAAAGAGACGTGATTCAGCATTATTTAGCAGACGCTTTTATCCAAAGCAGCTAACAAATGTTTGAGTTTGGGGTGAGATTATGAACCTGTTTGAAAAGGCATTATTATTATTTTTTTTTGCATTTTTGCACTTAAGGTTCAATGTTTCTTCATGGGAACAGATTTGGAGAAATTTAGCATTGCATCACTTGCTCACCAGTGGATCCTCTGCCGTGAATGGGTGCCGTCAGAATGAGAGTCCAAACAGCTGATTAAAAACATCACGATAATTCACACCACTCCAGTCCATCAATTAACATATTGTGAAGTGAAAAGCTGCATGTTTGTAAAAAAACAAAAACATCATTAAGATGTTTTTAACAAACAGTTTTCAAACTGTTCCTTCCAGCTAAAATATAAGTCCTCTATCCATAATACTGGTTTCTGCAGTGAAAAAAGTTGTCTCATTTAAATCGGGGGAGAAATATGCACAGATCAAGTGCCGGTTACAAGCAAAAACAGTTCTAAATGAATATGCCGGTGAATTTTCATGTGAGAGGACAACAGGGGATGGACTTTTTCATTGAAGGAAGCATTATTATGGCTTATGGACTTATGGCTTATGACAGTTTAAAGTTAAAATGCCTTGATGGATTTGTTTCTGACAAGCATGCAGCATTTCCCTTCACACGATGGACTGGAGTGGTGTGGATTATTGTAATGTTTTTATCAGCTGTTTGGACTCTCATTCTGACGGCACCCATTCGCTGCAGAGGATCCATTGGTGAGCAAGTGACGTAATGCAAAATTTCTAAATTTTCAAATGAGATTTGAGAGCTGTGGACAGACTTTTCATTTTCTGCGACCCATTTTATTGACATAAATTGCTACAATGTTGTGGTGTGGCCTGCTGGCTTTTGTGGTGATTTGCCACATTTTGAGAGTTTTCGCACATAAAAATATCACTATAATGGTTTCCTGATGCTCATCTCCTCAGCAACAGAAGCAAGCGTGATGAAAACCTGCCTGACAGGAATATTACTAAAAAGTGTTCCCCTCTCTCTCTTTTTTTCTCTTTGATCGCAGTTTCTTTGGGGGATATCGGGGAAACTGAGCTTTCAGAGTCTTGTTTTCAGGCCTAAAAAAAATTTGCATTGCACACTTGCAAAGGGCTTGTTTTTTCTGTCTGTTTCTACAACTGAAACACCTTTTTATGATTTATTTAAGGAGTACAAGCACTGAGTGTTACTAATTTGCTAATTTGTCTTATTTAAGCATTGCTGTTTGATGTGAACAACCCTTGAGAAATGCATGCATGTGCTTTTGATCCTGTGGTTCAGTGCGTTTGTGGTCTTTTGAGTGCATTTTAAACTTTAATGAGTCACATCATACTTGCGAATATATCAGACTCTGAAGCAAAAATCCCACACATCTCTGTGAATCAGCCGAGAATCCATCTGGAAAATCTGTTCTGCGTATGTGAACCGAAAGAGAAAAGCAGTACCGTCTATGCTGCTGAGTCACCTGAAGTGTTGAAATGACACTTACATAAATTTTCTATGTTTTCAGATCCGAAATATATAATTACACTGCCTGGATTATTTATGCATGCAGTTCATTTTGTGGACATCTAGTTTTATTAATGCTTTTTTAAAAACTTCTTTGACTGTAGGTTCATCCTAAAATCATGAATATAGAAAGAATTGCAAGTCAACAACAAATTAAAGGTAAAGCTATTATATTATATAAGTTTTGTTTCGATATGTAACATCGGAGTAATCCATAAGATACAAACTATTGTGCTAATAATACTTTTATTCAGGAAGAAAGCAGTAAATTGATCAAAAGAGACATTTATATTCTTACAAAAGATTTTTATTTCAAATAAATGCTGTTCTTTTAAACTTTATATTCAGAAAAAATTTGTGAAAAAATGTTTCGTGTAAAAATATTAAATATAAAAAAACAGGTTGGTGGAATCCAGGTTAAATTATGTAATTGTAGGTAAACTGGTCATTGGTGAACCGGTCTGTGTCATGACCTGTGTTTAAAGTGAGATCACAATGACAGATTATTTTATGTTTATTAACTGGTTTAGTCTGTTGATGTCTTTTGTTGCTTCAGCAGGTGTGGCAGTCAAAAACCAAACACAGATGGTCCAAAGCATTATCTATAAAGAGCCTTTGTTGTCCACGCGGTGGTGAGGATTCTTGCTTTAAATAAACTGAAATTAAATAATAAAAGTTACCCAGACACATGTCCTGGAGTATGTTTAGTCCCTGTGCATTAGTCACATGCATCTTCATAGACAATAACATACATAATGTTTTAAAATATATTTGCTTATGTAGTAAGGATTCTACCTTTAAAGTGTGTAAAACTGCACTTCTTTCTTCTGTGGAGCACAAAAGCAGAAAAGCATTGTGAACCAACACAATATTAGTGCCCACTGACTTCCATTGTATGGAGAAAAGACATTTAAGACATTTCTCAAAATATCATCATCTTCTTTTTTTTGTTCTACAGAAGAAAATAAGTCATACAGGTTTGGAACGACATGAGGGTGAGTAAATGATGAGATAATTTACATTTTTGGGTAAACTGTCTCTTTAAGACCAGCAAGGAATCCTCCAAGAATTTTTTTTTCACTGTAGGATTCTTAAGGTTCTTGATGTAATATTACAGGTTCTTCATATCACTATATGGATGAAAACTAGAACTAGATTCTCATACTAGAGAATAACTTTTTAAAATCTAATTATACTATTTTTTTAATTTGTATAAATTTGAAGAGTGTAATCATAATTAGCTTTATTTTATAGCAATAGAAGTCTAAGGAGGGTGCTCTCGAGCTATTAAAAATCATATTGCTTAGAGGTTGATCTTTCACATCTCAGAAGACTTAAAGGGGTCATATGATGTTGCTAAAAAGAACATTATTTTGTGTATTTGGTGTAATGAAATGTGTTTATGCGGTTTAAGGTTAAAAAAACACATTATTTTCCACAAACTGTACATTATTGTTTCTCCTCTATGCCCCGCCTTTCTGAAACGCGTCGATTTTTACAAAGCTCATCAGTCTGAAAAGCGAGGTGTGCTCTGATTGGCCAGCTATCCAGTGCGTTGTGATTGGCCGAATACCTCAAGCGTGTGACGGAAATGTTACGCCCCTTACCATATTGTGATGCCTTGTCCCGGCCGGAGCGATGAGACAAAAACATTAAAACCCATTATAAACGAGGCATTTGTTGCATCCAGTGGGGACATAATTACGGATTATAATGATTATAATTATATAATTATAGTGGATGTAAATATCAGTTTATACGACAGCAGAACGCACAGACTGATTCCTGAGCATCGCCAAAGGAACCGCTGGAGAGACGCTCCGCTCCAGACTGCAGGAGGATGTATGGCGTTATTAACCATCTCCGAAACCATTTAAGGATCCTCAGATATTGATATCTTCATATGCACGTGAATCTTCTGCATTTGAAAAGCTTTCAGCGGGCGGACACACACACACTGCGCCGTGCGTCTTAACGCAGGACTGCTCTTTTGGACCCGTGCCACGGTTGTCTGTCTCCGTCCGTTCACCCAACCACACCTACCCGTTGTATCCTCACCGAATTACAGCAGCGGCGTCCCGCACACCGGATCCCGACAGATTCCGTCGCGAAAGGGACATTGTGTCTGCGTGAGCGGGTGGAAGAACGCGGATCTACTAAGCTATAAACGCCCGGTGCGCACCGGACCCCGCTCAAAGACGCCCGTGTCGTACTGATATGTCACCCCGGTGCGCGTGATCGCTTTGGATGGGAGGCAGGTGAAATTATCAGCTTTGTCCCGCATCCTGCGCCAGGAAGGAACGCATCACCTTGAGGATTTAAACGTATGCACCAAGAGCTTGTAACACTTCCAAGAGAAAGGAAAAATTTAAATCGCATCATATGACCCCTTTAATGAAGATGTGAAATACATTTAATTCAAGTACTGATTTTGTCTCAGATATTACTCCTGAAACCAAATAAGACGCAAACCAAACATACATGGAATTAATGTGGGTACAGATCATTTGGTCTTGAACCAATTTGATGAGAAATATGTCAGTTCATATTGAGATGTATATAATATTGAATATTGTCTTCTGTAAAGTTTGAGACATTGTTGAGATCTCCAATGAATCTCAGAGGACGCATGAAATTAATAGGGTGTTTTTCTCAGGGGAAAATCTATTCTCTCTATTTGCTCTCCTTTTAATCTAAAGAAACCATTAAGATATTAGATCTAATTATCAGACTGTGTATACGTTGCCTAACTGAATGTGTGTGTGTGTGTGTGAGCTATAAACGCCCGGTGCGCACCGGACCCCGCTCAAAGACGCCCGTGTCGTACTGATATGTCACCCCGGTGCGCGTGATCGCTTTGGATGGGAGGCAGGTGAAATTATCAGCTTTGTCCCGCATCCTGCGCCAGGAAGGAACGCATCACCTTGAGGATTTAAACGCACCGACACCCAACTTACCAGGTGAGCCGGTCAGTCATATTTTAGTTATAGATTTATAGAGTAAGAAATTAACTTTTATTATTATTATTATTATTATTATTAAGGAAACTAATTTCAGGGGCATTATGTTTTGTTAGGATTTTATTTGCTGATTTAATCACAAACGTTTAATATTAGCTCTGCAGAGGCGCTAAAACCATAATTATTGGCCTAAAATATTAAGAATGACCGACAAAATACAAAAACAGAGGATGAATTAAGTTTTTTTTTTGCCTCAGTCGGACTATAAATATATGGAGCTCTTTGTCACTTTTACAGGCATGTTTTTGTCATTTCTGACCATGATGCACATTTGATCTTGAAGAAGGTTCATCAATACATCCACCCTATTCATAAAATCCTGGAGGAGTATCTATATAGCATTAACATTTGGATCCAGTAAGAATCCTTTAAGAATCAAATCCAACTGGATAAACTGAAATTCCTGCAGTATTTTTTGGGATTAAACATGTCTGTTGAATATGAACGCTCTACGTATTGTAATGGAATAATGCCTTGCTATTGGGCAGTTAAAGGAAATCAAATTGAAGCTAAGAGTTTGTGAAAGAAAATGAGATTTTCCTTACATTTCTTTTGATGAAGGCATTGGTTCTATGGGTGATGTAAAAGTCCTGGTGGGAAGCATGGGTTTCTGAAAGATCACAATAAGTCCTTAAGATGCTTTAGTATAATTATATTAATATGTACACCCTAGTCAAGGAGAAATATATACTGTATATATATATATATATATATATATATATTTCTATTGGAACTGGAATCGGAATATTGTCATTTGAAACCAATCCTAAAAGGATCCAACAGGATTTCCAGAATTTTTTGATTCTTGATTCTTAGAGTCTTATTGGATATTGTGTAATCTTTTTCAGAGCTTTATATGTCTTGTACTGGAATAATGTTTTGGACATTTAAAGGAAATCACATGGACAGTTTTTTTGATTATATTGGTGGTCTGAAAGATCTAGTTATTGTTTGTGTGATGTTTTATTTTGCTAGAAAAATCCAATTAGAATCCTTTAGAATTGCTTTGAAATAATGATGCAATTCTGTTCACATCCCTTTAGGAATTTTAACCAGGTGTAGCTTGTTGATAGGGCTTTTTTTAAAATCTCATTCAGGGCTTATTGGCTTTCAGGAGCATGTCTCATAGGTCATGCATGCAAGATCCATATCTTGCAAAATTGTTTAGTTTGTAATTCGCTCAAGTGCTGGGTGAGCGATCGGATGCGTCGTGGCTTTCATTGGTTCATCGTTCTATTGTTGTGAATGCATGCACACTCCAGGCCCGCTGATGCTTCATAATTCTGCGGCTCTTGCTGGTAATAAACAAACCTCTCCAGTGCCAGGCTTATGTAAAGCACGTTTCGCATGTCAACAGTGTTTCTGAAGACAAAGCTTTCATATATTGGCTTGGAGGATAGGGGATCGGTTCACCACGTGCTTTGGGATATACATACATGACTGAAATGCAGTCACCACCTAAATTTGGCTTTTGTCCTTTGCGTTCTGCATATGATGATTGTCTGCCTGGGTTTGTTGCTCTAGTAGTTTTGCATAATTTATAAGCTTAGTTAACAGGAACTGCTTCCCTTGTTTCCAAGGAAAACCAGCCATTTATAAGGTAAACTTAACTAGAAATAAACTTTCAAATGCTTTTATGGTGGTACCATGGTATAGTGAGGCTGTCATAAGGTAATACCATGGTATACACTAAAAATGTATGACTACCCTCACAAAAGAAGCTTTCAAAATCCGTCTTTTTAATGGATTTTTTAACTGATGTCAAATTGTGTCAAGTTAACACCATTTGCAGTGTGTTTTTTGGGCTAACAGAAAGGTTCAGTCCGCTAAAATTAATTAATGCACTTTTATTATTATTATTATTATATATTTTTTTAATTTATTTATTTATTTTTGTTTTGTTTTATTTTTAATTTGTTGTTTATTTGATCGGGGACAACACACATTAATAATACATGACAATATATAAAGTGTACCAAAGATTTAGCCAAATTGGCAAATTTTTATCCATAGTCCCTTGAAAGGTTGATTACATATCATGAATTAACAAGACTTTTAATGTTATTTTCTATATTTATTAAAACATATTTAACATTTCAAGTTATAAATGAACACTTATATTTTGTATTTTGTCAATGTATTTTGAATAAACAATGAGCAATAGTATAGTTCTAAATTAAAAATGGCTATTAATAAGACCTGTAAAAAGGTGGTTAATTTTTCAGTTCATGGTAGCTAATGCATTAAAACATTACAATAAATCATTATTTAATATTTTGTAATGGTACTGTAGCGTTTCAGTGTGCCAACTATTTTATAATATATATATAATTTTTATATATATAGATTTTTTGGGGGGAATTTAATAAATTAATAATTTTCTTTATAGCTAAATAAATAACTGTCATGAGCAATCCCAGGCATTTCAAGAATATTATTTAAAAGCATTATTATTATTATTATTATTTAGTACTACAAAAAGGACTAAAAGAGCTATATGCAGTATGCTCATGATGGCTGAAACGACAAACAGGACCTAAAAGAAAACTAACACATCTCTCCATGAGGCAGTATCTTCCTGAGAAAGACAGAATCGTCCTACACCAAGATGTTGTAAAAAGTAGCTGGCCTGTAACTGCTCGTTGTTTTTCTGTTTGCTGACGTGCTGTCTTTGCCCTCTTAGGCACCGCATGATTTATTTATATTATTTATTTATTTTTACCCATAGGTTCCAGGACTTTGAAAAATAAGTCATGTGTAAGGACAGTCTGGAGATGTGCAGGGAAGAACAGAACGTTTAGACAGACGATAACATCTATAGATAACAGTGGAAACGTAACACTAGCTGCATGTTGTACAGATGACGTGAGCTAAAATGTTTGTGTTTGAATACAGTGCACAGTAAATAACAACTGTTGCTTGTCTGTGCAAAACTCAGAGTGGTCTGGGTGGTTGCCAAGGTGTTGCTATGCACTTAAGATCTTAAGAGTAGTTTTTAGCAAGTTGCTGTGTGGTAGTTAAAGATGTTCTGTGTGATTGATAGGCGACCAATTCAAAAGAGCCTCTGTGATCATCTTTTATCATTCACCAAGCGAAAATCGTAACTCTGATGACATAGAAAAGCAATAGCAAACGTCTTCTCAAAAAGCAAAATAAAGGGCTGTATGATAATGGTTGCACTAATAATTACGATTATTTTGCTCAAAATGATTATTAATCACAATTGTTTTACATTTCATTAGAATCATTGCACTTTCACGTAAGCACACATTAAGAAAATGTCAAGTCATATGCAGGGTTTATTTGACCTGATTTCCCGGTTTATCGTGTACATTACACTCTCTACATTAAGAAAACTTGTAAAGCTTTTCTTTCAAAAGCTAAAACAATTAAATTCCTAACATTAATTGCAAAAATTCCAAATTATGTTCATTGTTATTCTATTAAAACAACAAAAAGACTTGTATTATAGCATAGAGGTTGTGTAAGTGCATTTATTCAGCAACCACAATAACAAACAATATAGTCATGTTGGATATATCTCAAATATTACAGATGATTATGTGTAAATAAGTGAGAGAAACAGAAATCATGATTGTGATTAAAATGCCATTGATCATGCAGCACTAATTGAAGATATCATTTATGTCAAGATACATGACAAAGTTTAATATTCAGAGTTATTGGTTTTATTAAATCACTAACCCAAAGTATGACAATTACCACTAATGATGGACCTTATATAGTGGTGAGCGGAAACTGCGACAGATATAATTTTTGCGTTCCCATTTGCCCCAATAGCAACAAAAAGCGTTTCTATGACTTTTCAGAAGAGGAAAAAAATCAAGCGATTGATTACATTGGTCAGAAGAGAGGATGAAATTTACCGTCTCTCGCTCAACCATGCAGTAGCGTTACCTAGTTTTCTGTAATTTAATGCCAAGGTACTGTTATAGATGTACATTAATTTCTTTTTAAATTAAAATATTTGTAAAAATTCTAATGAGTGAAATGAGCTATCACAGTCTGTGAAAAGAGTCCGTAGAGAGAAATAGAGTGAACAATAAACCCCAGAGAGAAGTTGGATGTGGTCTATATATAATTTTGAATCCAATTATGCATTTGTTGCTTGCCGATTGCGAGATGCTTTGTTAGAGTGATTGTTATTCACAAAACTGGAAATGATAACAAGATTTTCACAAAAAAATGCTTAATTTTCCAAGATCAGCTGGCCGCAGTCTGCAGCAGACAGACTGAATGTGTGTGTGTGTGTGTGTGTGTGTGTGTCTGCAAAAAAAGACGTAAAGATACATGGATTGAGCCGGAATTGCTTGAGAAGGATTGATAGTGCATTTGTATAAGAGTTGTGTCAGTGTCAGTGTCTGTGTGTTTGTTGGACAGAAAGGGAGGGTAAACAGAGCAACAGAGCTGGTCTCGATGTGTGTGAGAGAGTAAGACACACACACAGACACACACACACATAGAAAGTGAGACAGGGCTTGACTCTCTCCGACTGACTAGCTGTGAATAGTCCCCCTGTTATCTCTGCAGTGCACACAGACAGCAGCACAGCAGGCCAGCCAGGCAGGTGCTGCACAAAAATAGCAGGTGTCTGTTCGGGTTAATACACATAGTCCCCCTTTCCCGTCTCTCCCGGGGGCCGAGCACCCATCACTGGGGTGTGGCAGCGCTGAGGAGGCCCTCCTCCTCCTCTTCATGCACCGCAAGCTCGAGTGCCCAAAGGTGACGTCTCGCTGTTGTCTGCAACTTGTTGCGCGTGATGACCGGCCTTGTACCCTTTCGTGGTCCACAGGCCAAAGGATTGCTCTCGTCTTTCAACAATAAGGGAAGATTTAGAGCTCAAGGTGTTATTCGGATGTGTGTGCATCTGTGTTTGTGTGTGTAACTCAGCCGGAGGGTGTATTTTTATTGCTTAGACG